TATCTGAGCACTCTGACATTTATATTTTCCCCAGGTAGTTTCAGATTAAAAACTGGGATATAATTCATATCAGTGTATGGCTGTATATTATTAGCAACTAGGAATCTGCCAGCGACTCAAGATAAATACGTCTTTCATGTCTAAAAAACAAAGGTACAATCTAAAAAGCAAGATTTTAATCCTCCAAGTTCAATGATAAAACAAGGAGTGATTTGTCATATGACTGGGCACTAGTCATGTCAAAGTGAAGTCCTAAACACATTGACTGGGGGTAAGTCCAGTTGAAAAATGTGAGATTTATCTCTAAGTAAACATGCACATGATTGCGTAGCATGTAATACTGGAATAGCCACTGTCAGCAGATGGTAGGGCTGATTTTATACTCTTGTGAGCCCTTGATCTTTATCAATACTACTACTAGAGCTGGGAAATGTTGCTTTTTGGTGATTACTCCAGATGACAGATTTCAAAGATGATGAAGGTGTAGTAGAGTCTGCGAACATCAATTGTGGAAATTTGCTTGAAATGAGAATTCCAAAGGGACAAATCTAACTAACAAAGAAATGAAAGAACCACCAAAATGAATGCCTGGAGAACTCAGCCAAATACCATCCATATACCAGCAAGAAAACAGGCATCAAGTATACATCATTGGTCATCAGAATCCAGGGAGAGGAGATCCCTTCCATAGAATGGATCAGTTCTGCCTTCCTGAAATTACAGCAATGGAGACATGTAGAATAATCACAGGATGTCTTAAACCTACACCCGCTGATAGACTTTATAAGCTAACTGGCATTGCCCCTCCTGGTGTGTGATGAGAAGTTGTTGCCAATTGTGTGAGGAATGAGACTGAACACTGTGAAAGCTGCCCACTGAATGTCTACCAGCCTCCTCCCAGTAGACTTACATCAAGGAAAAGTTTCACGAGAACCACATTCTTCTAAATGTTCCTCCAGCAACAGGAAGAATATCCCTGAGGGCAGCAAAATCAGGTAATTCCAACTGGATGCCCCCCCCCCAAGGGTCTTCCTCCAGGTGCAAACCAAGAATGGGTAACTTGGAAGTCCTTGAACAGACTCAGAAGTGGAGTGGGCAGATCAAAAGACAACCTGGCAAAATGGCACTACCTCAAAGAATCCTCCACCTTGTGCGACTGTGGAGCAGAAAAAACAATTCTGCATCTGTATGCTTGCCCACAATGCCCTGCTTCATGCACTGAGGAAAAATTGTTTAAAGCTACAATGTGGTCGCTGTTGCCCGTTTTTGATCTAAAACTATTTTGCTGTTGTGCTCTCTTTATTTTATTAGTTTTATGCTGATTTATTTATGCAATGCTTTTGACACAAAATAAAAGCAATGGACACCAGAGGTGCTATCAGTCAAGAACTGCTGATATGAGCAGATCCTGCAGCAATAGAGAAGACTTGCTGAAGGTCCCACGATGCATGGCAGAATGAGTGACGGGAGACCTAGGGTTGAAATTGCAGACCAGCTTAGGAAAGCGATCTTTAAAACTGATGTACATAGTTTAAAACTTTTAAAAACGGTTTTAACTCATCATTATGTTTTTACAAAAATTAGCTTTTTTACAATTTTGTTTTACACAACTTAAACTGTTGTTTCGATGTTATTTTTAAACTGCCTTGATACCTTTTTGAGATAGGCTGGGGTAGAAATATTTTAATATATCAAATGTTATATATAGATTCACAAAACAAAAAGCCTCTTGGTTGGCATGGCATGTCAAAGGCAAAGGCAAGGCAAAACTCATTCTCATTGGTGTTCAATAATTTCATTGGTCCAAGCTGGGCTGCCTGGGATGCCAGAAGATGTAGCCTCAACATCTAGAGAGCACTGTGCATGTAATGCCTATAGAAAAGCAGCAGATCTCCAGTCTACAAATCAATAGTAGAAAACCATTGCCTCTACAGATTTCAAGTCCTATCATCCCTAATCATGCTGGTTAGGATTAAAATTGCAATTCAGCAACATCTGGAGGGCTGCAAGTTGTCCAGCTCTAATGTAAAATGCACGTATTGGGAGGAGGGTGTCAATACTGTTTAGTTGAACATTCATAACTTTACAATTGAGGTAGTAAGTAGAGGATTTCCATTCAGCTACACCAGAAGGAAGAGAATATATTGAAGATGCACCAAGCACTTGTTGATTCCTGAGAATCCTGCAAACAATGCTAGACCGGATGGACTTTAATTTTTTTCCAACCACACATACTGTAAAGGATGAGCGCATGGTGTGGATCACTTCCCATGGATTATTTATGAACTGTCAAGATATCTGAGTGAACACACTGTGTATTTTTGGGGAATTATCTGGTGCTTATAAATAAAGGTTCATTAGGTAACCACTGAAGAAAAGAAAATAACTAAACAGAAAGGCGGAGTATGATTTATTTACTTTTATTTAAGGAAAGTTTATCCTTAGCAAGATTGTACTCATCAAATAAACATTTTAGAGCAATATAATAATGTATGGAAGAATGAGATACTAACTTTGCAACACAAGTGACAAAATGTTGTATCACATATATCTTATACAGTGTTGTTGTTCATTTGTTCAGTTGTCTCTGACTCTTCGTGACCTCATGGACCAGCCCACGCCAGAGCTCCCTGTCAGCCGTCACCACCCCCAGCTCCTTCAAGGTCAGTCCAGCCACTTCAAGGATGCCATCCATCCATCTTGCCCTTGGTCGGCCCCTCTTCCTTTTGCCTTCCACTTTCCCCAGCATAATTGTCTTCTCTAGGCTTTGCTGTCTCCTCATGATGTGGCCAAAGTACTTCAACTTTGTCTCTAGTATCCTTCCCTCCAATGAGCAGTCGGGTTTTATTTCCTGGAGGATGGACTGGTTGGATCTTCTCGCAGTCCAAGGCGCTCTCAGAACTTTCCTCCAACACCACAGTTCAAAAGCATTGATCTTCCTTCGCTCAGCCTTCCCTAAGGTCCAGCTCTCACATCCGTAGGTTACTACAGGGAATACCATGGCTTTGACTAGGCGGATCTTTGTTGCCAGTGTGATGTCTCTACTCTTTATTATTTTATCGAGATTGGACATTGCTCTCCTCCCAAGAAGTAAGCGTCTTCTGATTTCCTGGCCACAGTCTGCATCAGTAGATGCAGACTCTATACAGTAGAGTCTTGCTTATCCAACCTTCACTCATTCAAAGTTCTGTATTATCCAACACAGTCTGCCTCCCGCCTGGATCCACAGCTGTTTCAATACATTGAGATGTTTTGGTGCTAAATTCGTAAATACAGTAATTGGTACAGAACATTATGATGTACTAAACTGCTTTTTCTGTCAATTTGTTGTAAAACATGATGTTTTGGTGCCATACAACCTGAAAAACCTACAACCCACTTTTGGTGCTTAATTTTTAAATCATAATGTAATTTGAAGTTTAATAGGTTTTTCCTTAATCCCTCCTTGTTATCCAATATTTTCGCTTATCCAATGTTCTGCCGGTCCATTTATGTTGGATAAGCAAGACTCTACTGTATATAAGGATATTAGGGTTAGGGTTAGTGCTATTAGCACTATTGATAGAGGAATGACTCTTCCGTATCTTCAACTTGTCAGCCACTAAGAGGAACACAGCCCACTGTCATATAGCAGTAGTGGTGCTAGTTTCCTGACAATTTTTTAAATAGGCCTCACAGCTGTTCTTTTCTGTTGAATAATAGATCTATGTGGACAACACATCCTTTCTGGTTCCCACTGCCATTATCAAAGCATAACTTAACTGCCAGTCCCACCAGCTTCTATCCATAGACTGTAACAGGTTGGGAGGAGGCATCTTTTCTTTCACATCAAACATCGAAATATTTTGAGCTCACAATGCTTCTGTCTATGTAAGTGGCAAAATCTGGAGGATTACTTGATGTGCCTCCATAGATAGTTGACATTATATCTTTGAAGGTCACAACTGAGATCTGCATTGTGTGGTAATTTTTTTAAAGTACTAATAAATTAAACTCTTCCATCTGAGTTATGAGTTGAATGCTAAAAAAAAAGACTTGTAGATAATGATGAAGAAATTAAGTTACTGTTCCATTTTCTGGGAAGACTCCAAAAGGGGGCCTAGACAGAGAAGGATGGTCAATTTAGTGGGGGCAGGGGAGTTGGAGGAAACCCATTTTCCCCATTTTCACTGGTTATCCCCCCCTCCCACACACACACTTCCCATATCATAAACAATGGCTATTTTGATGATGGCAACATGGGTGGGGGGGAATAACAGGAAAACATCTAGAGAGTAGCCTAAAACATCTAGAGAGCACTGTGCACGTGTCTATAGAAAAGTAGGAGATCTCCAGCCAACAAATCAATAGTAGTCAACCATTGCCTCTACAGATTTCAAGTTCTATCATTCCTAATCATGCTGGCCAAGATTGATTAAAATTGCAGTTCAGCAACATCTGGTTTAACGCCTTCAACCCTCTTTCCCCCATAAAATGGACTATTCTCTGTCTAGCGCCCCCTTGTGGCCTCCACCCAGATAATGGAACAGTACCAAAATTAATTCAGTTGATGACTTGTGAGAAATATTTGAAGAGTATCTTAGTCTGGATGTATACTGCTATATTGGAGGGGCAAAGATCCAAAATACTCCTTAAATCCAAATCCGAAAAGCAGGAGCTCCCTTTCCAGTGGAGGGGGAGAGCAAGAACACCATGAAAGCTGGATCTCTAAAACTGCAAAAGCTGTTTATTGCGTGGCCAAAGCAAGACGGCAAAATACATATACAATACAATGAAAAGGTTTCGCCACACCCCCAAATGGGGCTGCAAAACTTTTATCACTTCGACAGTAAATTGAAAACACATTCACATTGGTGTTCAAAGATCAATCATTTCATTGGTCTAAGCTTACTATACAGATGCTCATTGGCTCTATATTATTTTGACAGTCATAAAGGCACGCATGGGACCATAACAAGGGGACAACTATAGTCTATTGTACTCTGGCCATGACAGTCTTAATGAATCTGTCTTCTCTGTTCTTCTGTTGCAAGCATAACTCCAAAACGGCTGGGAAACTTAGAGAGTACTAACTAGCCACAAGCTAGCCAGTTTGTCCTGATGTACTTTTATCCTTGAAAAGTAACGTCCTCTCTGCAGCAATTTTTCTCAAACCATAAGGACATATGGGCATTGGGAAATCCCTGAAAATTCCATTTTAAACTATGTCTCCCTCAATATAATGTAGTATGAACTGTATTATATTGTCAGGGAAGACTGGGGGTTCTCAAACTAAGGCCCTCAGGCCAGATGTCGCCCTCCAAGGTCATTTACCTGACCCCTGCCCTAAACTTTAGACACAGGGTTACCCTAAGTTTTAAACGACTTGAAGCCACACAACAACAATCCTAATTAACTTGACTATCTCATCAGTCAAAAACAGACCCACACTTCTCATTAAAATACTGGCAAGTTTATGTTGGTTAAAATTGTTCTTCATATTTTATTGTTCTTTCATTTTTTTTTGTGTGCTACAAATAAGATATGTGCAGTGTGCATAGGAATTCATACATTTTTCCCCCAAAATATAGTCCAACAGTCTGAGGGACTATGAACTGGCCCTCTGCTGAAAACATTTGAGGATCCCCTGATATAGACCCATACACTGCAGTTCAAACTGCATTATATGGGTCTACTCTACACTGACCATATAATGCAGTTCAGGTTGCATTGTACGGCAGTGTAGATCCAGCCTAAAGCAGTCTGGGCCTAATTCTGTAATGGCAAAAGATTTTGAAGTTCAGAAAAACCTCTGCCTTAATTTCCTCCACAAATTTGACTCGAAATATATATTTTGGATATATTATATTTAATTGTTATCAGTCATTTTGGGGGTTATCAAGTCCTCATCCAAAGCAGCATATTCTTCCAAAGATAAGACATTTGGAAATTGTACTGCTGCAGCCAGTGCATATGCAGTCAAATTGAAGTTATTTTCAGCTTCTGCATCTACAGAAGCTTTCCCCCCAGAGCCTGATCTAAACCCTGCTGCAATGTAGCTGTTAACAATTGTCCCCGAGGATACAGCCCTCCAACAGAGCTGCAACATACCAAGGGCATCAAGCAGAGTCAGTGCAAATGCCTTTCCGGTGTTTATACAGTCTATAAACCTCTTGAGAAGAAGGGTCCGATATTTGACTTTCAGACTCTTGATAATCCCTTGCTTCATAGCTGTAAATCGAGAAGCGGAGCAAGAAGGAAAGAATACAAGCTTGATACATTTTAAATCCTTTACCTCTGGAAAATCTGGGAAAGGGTCCACAAAAATAACAACGCGACGCTTCTGTATTTTAAACTTCTTATCGAGCTTGTTCAGCCATTGTTCAAACACATCTGAAGTCTTCCATGGCATAGTACTGGGATGGTATTGTACAAGAGGTGACTTTCTGCTCTGAAAACAGCGGGGAGTTTTATTTTTTCCAATGACAAGCAAAGGAAGTTTCTCTGAGGCATCCATGTTGGTACCAACCATGAGAGTTAATTCTTCCTTGCTCACTTTCCCCACTGAGCACATTTTTCCTTTAAATGCAAATGTACGACTGGGTAACATCTGATAAAACAACCTTGTCTCTTTCAGATTAAATATATCATTCGGTTGATAAACCTTTACATAGTAAGGCAGGATACTTTGATGCCAAACTGTTACAGCATCCGCTGCAGAAGCATCGGTCAGAGTCATAGCGGTAGCAATTCCTGACTGAGATCTGAATGCTAATCCATACCTTGATTTAAAGCGATCTAGCCAGCCGTTACTGCATTTGAAATCACTATATCCAAGTTTCTGTGCAAAATGGTTGGCTTTGATGCGTAGCAATGGCCCATCTACTCGTACATTTGAACACTGTGCCATTTGGTACCACTTCACCAGAGCCTCTTCCAGATCAGTGTAGCATGCCATACGCAACCTCTTTCGTTTTGGATCAAATGGCAAAGACTCAAAGGCTTCTAGAATGTTATCTTTGTTCTTCAAAATGGAATACAAGGAGTTTCGCTTTATGCCATATTTTCCTGCAATCTCTGTCTTTTTCTTTCCATTTTCTATGGCAGCTATTATGGCAATTTTGTCCTGGATTGTCAAACTTGTCTTTTTTCTTGCCGCAGGCAACGTTGTAGGAACATCTGAAAACTCCGCCATCGTAATGTTAGAGATCTTGGGGAAGCTCAGTTGCATATTTGCTCGGTTACTTTGCTACCATCAAGGGCTTTAATTAGATTGGTTTACAAGTCACATGCTGAAGTCATGCTAAAATAAAGTAACATCACATGATTAGACTGGCAGTGCCACAAATATATTTTTGCATATCATAAATATGCAGAAACATGATCTTCTAATGTTGTTACCTAATAAAAACAGTTCTATGAACTTATTCAAGGTAATCTCAAGCATGTGGTATACTTTTATTTCTTTTACAGTAATTTAGTAGCCTTTCTGTGCCCTCTTTATTATTTGAAAAACAATTTTTGGTTTGGCTTTTTTTTTATTTACACAGAATCACAGAGTTAGAAGACACCACATGGGCCATCTAGTCCAATCCCCTGCCTTGCAGAAAGAGCACAATCAAAGCACTTCTGACAGATGATGATCCAGCTTCTGTTTAAAAGCCTCCAAAGAAGGAGCTACAATTTGTGGCAGAGAGTTTTCAGAAGTCCGTTGACTGATGCTGCTATTTGCTACCCTAGATCTGTTTTAAAATGTGCCTCTGGCATGCCACCCCATGTCTGTTCCTCCCTCTAACAGTTCAATCTTGCCCTTGAGTTATAATTGCATTCACATTTCACAGATGAAAACCAGGACACATGCAGCCAAGCAAAATTAGAGTTGTCAAGATAGTAAAAGGATTTAATGAGAAAGAGCACACAAGGTAACAGGACGCTGTATCAGTTTACTTTTGCACGAATCAAATGGCAAGATTTTCACCTTTCCATCACTTCTCCCACAAATGAGTTGTGTGCAAACCATTTCTGCATTTTGACTCAGTTTGTAGCAAGTACTGAAATAAACCAAGAATGAAGATAGAAAGTGAGGCCCCTTCTACATTGCCATATAAAACCCAGATGATCTACTTTGAACTGGATCATATGAGTGTAAACTCATACAACACAGTTCAAAGCAGATAGTGCGGATTACCTGCTTTGACAATCTGGATTATTGACAGCGTAGAAGGAGCCTGTGAGGTGCAGAGGGAAACTTTAACATTTTAAAAGCAGCTGAAAAGGTTGACTAGCAGATGATTAATTGGTGCTGCCCCTGCCATTGTTGACTGAGGACAATATCTCTCCTAGAATTGTGCATGGGAGGTCACCAATACACTACAATAGGATCTTTCTCCCACCAAAGCCAGCCATGTGTAGAGAAAATGGCCCCTGCCACTAGCCACAAGAGTTTCAAAGCCTTTAGGTGTGTACATGTAGTTTACCACCACTTTTAACTTCCACAATGCAATGCCACAGAAACATGAGAGTTGCATCTTTACAAGGTCTTTAGCCTTCTCTGCTAAAATAGTGCTGATTCCTCACATAACTCTAATTCCCATGATAGCATTGAATGATAGCAGAGGGATCTCAAACGTCATTACTCCTGCAATTGGAAACAAACCTGGCTTTTTCCTTAATCTTGGAAAAGGGGAAGCATACACAGCCTAGTTGTATTAGCAGGGAGTCATAAAGCAAAATCATGAAGAGAAAAAGGAAAATCTCTTTATTCTGAAGGTTTTATGAGGTACACTTTTAGGGCCCTTCCACACAGCCATGTTCCAACTCTTCATGACCTCATGGACCAGCCCACGCCAGAGCTCCCTGTCAGCTGTCACCACCCCCAGCTCCTTCAGAGTCAAGCCAGTCACTTCAAGGATACCATCCATCCATCTTGTCCTTGGTCGACCCCTCTTCCTTTTTCTTTCCATTTTCCCCAGCATCATTGTCATCTCCAAGCTTTCCTGTCTTCTCATGATATGGCCAAAGTACATCTTTGCCTCTCATATCCTTCCCTCCAGTGAGCAGAAGTGCTTTATTTTCTGAAGTATGGACTGGTTGGATCTTCTTGCAGTCCAAGGCACTCTCAGAATTTTTCTCCAACACCAGAGTTCAAAAGCATCTATTTTCCTTCGCCCAGCCTTCCTTATGGTCCAGCTCTCACATCCATAGGTTACTACGGGGAATACCATTGCTTTAACTATCTTCATTGCCAGTGTGATGTCTCTACTCTTCACTATTTATCAAGATTGGCCATTGCTCTCCTCCCAAGAAATAAATGACTTCTGATTTCCTGGCTTGAGTTTGCATCTGCAGTAATCTTTGCACCTAGAAATACAAAGTCTGTCACTGCCTCCACAATTTCTCCCTCTATTTGCCAGGTATCAATCAGTCCGGTTGCAAGAATCTTGGGTTTTTTGATGTTTAACTGCAACCCAGATTTTGCACTTTCTTCTTTCACTTTGGTTAGAAGGCTCCTCAGTTCCTCTTCGCTTTTGGCCATCAAAGTGGTATCGTCTGCACATCTAAGGTTGTTAATGTTTCTTCCAGCAATTTTAACCCCAGCCTTGCATTCATTAAGCCCTGCACATCGCATGTGTTCTGCATACAAGTTGAATAGGTTGGGTGAGAGTATACAACCCTGCTATACGCCTTTCCCATTCTTGAATCAGTCTGTTGTTCCATGGTCAGTTCTTACGGTTGCTACTTGGTCCTTATACAGATTCCTCAGAAGACAGACAAGGTGACTTGGTATCCCCATACCACCAAGAAATTGCCACAATTTATTATGCTTGGGACCCGCCTACCTGTGTGACCACATTTCCATGAATAAACCCACACGGTCTCTTTGTTCATCTGAAGAGGACCTGCTCTCGCTCTCGCCGCCCTTGCAGGCGCGATTGGTGGGGATGAGGGAGGGCCTTCTCGGTGGTGGCCCCCCGACTCTGGAACTCACTTCCCAGGGACATCAGGCACGCCCCAACATTGGCAGTCTTTAAGAGGAGCCTGAAAATGTGGCTGTTTCAGTGCCTTCCCGGAATAAGGAAACAATTCCCAGCAAAATGTCCTCAAATGCACTTTGGATTGTCTCTACTCTTTACGATTTTATCGAGACTGGACATTGCTCTCCTCCCAAGAAGTAAGCGTCTTCTGATTTCCTGGCCACAGTCTGCAATTTATTTATTATTATTTATATATACTCCACACAGCCATAAAACCCTGAACATCAAGGCAGAAAATACCACAATAAGTGCTTTGAACTGGGTTATCTTGAGTCCACACTGCCATATATTCCAGTTCAAAGCAGATAATGTGGAATGTTATACAGCTCTGTGGAAGGGATTCCAGGGCATTGGAAGCCTTTTCTCTCCCAACCCTGTTATGATGCTACTGTTGGTTTCCTTTAATTGCCATGGAAATGTTGACTATGGGAGGGAAGATTGAGAGACCCGGATGCTGTTTCTATGGCGACGCGCCACGTTCTAAAGAACACCGTGGCCCCTTTATGCGAGCGGCGAGGCAGTAGAGTGACAACCCGCCGCTCTATTTCCGGCCAGGCAGTTCCGGTTGGCGCTGGAGTTTGTGAGGGGAAGTGGAGGGGGGAGTGGAAAGAAGGCGGAAACGGGGCCGGAGCGACCTGGACTTGCCTGACGCCCTTCTTGTGGTGAAGCAGCAGCAGGAGGAGAAGGAGGCGGCGGGCTGAAGGTAAAGAGGGAAGATGGTGGGCGTGGCGGAGGGGGGAATAGCCGCTTCCTGAGTTAAAGAGTCCCTCCGGTGGGGCCTGGTTGAGGCCTTGCATGTCCTCCTCAGCCTCCCCCGTCATTCTCCTCCTCCCCGCCTCCAAGGGGTGGAGAGGGGAGGCCGGCTGCTGTCCTGGCCTGTCTTCAGCTGCTCTTCTCAAGATGGACAAACGGCCTTGGCCACGTAGGAGCAGGGAGGGGCGCCCTCCATTCCCTCCACTTCCCTTTGGGTGCGTCTATACTGTAGAAATCAATGCAATCTTGACGCCCCTTGGGCTGCTATGGAACTATGGGAGTTGTGGTTCGGTGAGGCACCAGCACCCCTTGGCAGAGAAGTCTACAGGCCTTGTAAAGCCACAACTCCCATGGAAGTTAAAGTGGTGTCAAACTGCAGTCATTCTACAGTGGAGACTGTATGGCATGGGCAAACCTCGGCCCTCCATGTGTTTTGGACTTCAACTCCCACAATTCCTAACAGCCCACTGGTTTTTCTCTTGCTTCGTCTGGATGCACCCTTTGTCAGAGCTCCACAGTGGTGCTTTCCCCCAACTTCATAGCCAAAGGACATAAATATGGTGCTTGTTCCTGTCCCAGTGGAGAAAAAAGTAATCATTTAAGACCTACCTCTGAGGATGCTTGCCATAGATGCAGGCGAAACGTCAGGAGAAAATGCCTCTAGAACATGGCCATATAGCCCGAAAGAACCCACAAGAACCTAGTGATTCCAGCTATGAAAGCCTTCAACAATACATTTAAGACCTTTCCAGACAGGCCCTATATCCCAGGATCTGATCTCAGTGCGGACTCATATAATCCAGTTTAAAGCAGAAAACCTGAAATCAGATCCTGGGATATTGGCCATGTCTGGATGGCCCCTCAGATGGCATGAGAAGCACAGCTTTACATATCTGTGTCTCCATCATCTGCAGTTTGAAGTTATCCTCAGACCCCTTCTCCACTGCCATATAATCCAGATTATCAAAGCAGATAATCCACATTTGAACTAGATTGTCTGAGAGCTCTTCCACACAGCCGTATCATCCAGAACATCAAGGCAGAAAATCCCACAATGTCTGCTTTGAACTGGAATATATGGCAGTGTGCACTCGGACATCCCAGTTCAAATCAGATATTGTGGGGTTTCTGCTTTGATATTATGGATTATATGGCTGTGTGGAAGGGTCCTGAGTTATGCGAGCCCCCTTCCACACAGCTGAATAAAACCCCACATTTTCAGTTTTGAACTGGAATATATGGCAGTGTGGACTCAGATAATCTGGTTTTCTGCCTTGATATTCTAGGTTATATGGCTGTGGAAGAGCCCTGAGTCCCCACTACATGTATTCTAGTTCAAAGCAGAAAATGTGGGATTTTATTCAGCTGTGTGGAAGGGGCCTGAATCTATACTGCTGTATATTCCAGTTCAAAGCATATAATCTGGATGTTATATGGCAGTGTAGAAGGAACCTTAGACTGCTTCAGCCAGATGCCAAAGTTCCACAAGAGCAAGCAAAAGAAAGCCCTTAATACACATCAGTGCTCTGTGGTTTATAAAATCACAAACTGGGTATCAAACTGGTTCTGGGATTTCCTGTATGATGATCTGCACAGTGATACTGCATTATATAGTCAATGTGGATGGGACCGAAATTTTGCTTGACAGGTTGAACAAGTGCTGCTTTTTCCTAGTATGAGGGGAGGAAGTGCCTGTCAGACAGCTGTTAGTGAAAGTGTGCTCTTGAGTTAAAGCTCCTCTAACAAATGAGTATGTGTTCTAATGTGAAGTTCAATTAATTTATCCATAACCATACTGATGACAGGCAATGCAGGTTTTAAATTTCGTAGATTAAGGAATTTGCTACATTCGATTCCATGGCTGAGGGATCTATATTCTGAAAATGTTTGATCATTAATCAGCTTATCTGTTCTTATCTGTTTCCACCAGTTTCCTTGCATGTAACACTTTATATAAAGGCAGAGTGTCACAGTGTTTTCTATTCAATAAATGGCTTTGAAGAAAGAACAAACTACAGGGAAACTTGCCAGGAAAGGGAAAAAAAGTTAATCCTGGGACACACCTACTTCATAATCTTTCAAGAGGCAGGTAGGGCAATGGTGGTTGTGTGCCTTTGAGGGGGAAGAGCAGGAAGTGCTTTGCCCAGCCAAAGAATATAGCTGTTCTTATTAAAGTGCCTTCCATTATTTTCCTCCTTTTCCCTTTGACCTGCTTTGTTTCTTTAGTTTGCTTGTTGCTGAGATAATTCAGTCAGAAGATGGAAAAGTTTAAGATGTATTCAGTTATCATTTCCCAGAGAGGTGCTCTTCTCCTTAGCTTTCAGCTTTTCAGGCTGCATGACTATCTGTCTTTATCTGTGTGTCATAGATACAGGTTGAACATCTCTTACCTAAAATGTTTGGGAGCAGAAGTGTATTGAAGAGGGTTTTTGTTTTTTTGTTTTTTGTATTTTGGAGTGCTTTCATTTGCATATATGTGCACAAGGGGATGTCTTTGGAAATGGGATCCAAGTCTTAACACAAACTCATTTTGTTCCACATATAGGTCATTTTATAGATATGGTTTTTAATAATTTTGTGTATGAAATTTTAAAAATATATATCAAATCATCTTAAAGTAGAAGGGACATTCTTGGACACCTATGTGGACAATTTTGGAGTATTGTAAAGATCTGTAATGTTTCTGATGTACATATTTAGGCCCTCTACCTCGTTGCTAGATGCAGCTTGTAGACAGTGGTGTTTGGGATTTCAGCCTCAAATAGCTGCATTTATTTCATGAAAAAAGATGAAAAAGTTTGTAAATTTCTGTAGGATGGTATGCACTCTCTTCACTCAGTAGGTGAAATAGGTAACCAGAGTTGATTACATGGACTGGTTGTATATTTGATTGCACTATGTGTTGTGAGAAAAATCATTACTGAACTCATAAGAGTGGCAATCATGTTGATGCAGAATATGCTTTGGTTATTTGTCACACTTTTCAGATCACTACCTTTCACCAACTTAAATGCCCAATGGGCTATGTCTGTATGGGACTTGATTTATCTTATTTTCTGCTTTCCTATAACTAGACTTTTGATGCTAGAGAGTAGTAGGGATTTTACTATGCAACGTATTATTTATTTATTTGCCACATTTATATCCTGCCCTTCTCACCCCGAAGGAGACTCAGAGTGCTGCACATATACACTCACAGCATGCATTCTGCTAGATTCGTAGGAATGAAGCAATTCTGTGAGGTCTTTTAAAAAAAATATATTATTGGAGTTTGTATAATGCTCTTATTGCAACCCATGTATATTCCAACTTTTTCCAGATCTTCATGTTGACATATGTGATTGTCAAATCATTTATCCTACAAAAGTGTTATGAAATGGGTTAAGGTATGGGAGAGGCTCATGCCTACCAGTTAATAATTAACCCACATAGCAGTCTAAAGGGATCCTTGTGCAGCAGTCTGATTATTATTCTATAATGGATTTACATGTCAATCTTACATTTACTTGGTTATGTTGGAGCAAATGTTTTACATCTGAAAATTTATAGCAGTTCCTTTCTTACTGGAATGGGTGTTATGCATTGCTCCACATTGTTGAATTGCACTTTTTGACATTTCTTACCATTGGCTATTCAGACTAGGATAGCTGGGAACAACAATCGCCTATTTGCTTGTTCCCCATCCCTGCCGTGTTGCATATCAGCTATAAGGCATATGTTCTAGATTGGCAGAAGTGATGTGAGTGAGGAGTATTTCAGCCAAAGCATTTAAAAGATTTGAATATATTCATGTTATTCCCTTTTTTTTTTCTTCCTCAAAGGGCTTTCCATCTTGAGCAGTGATTCTCATCTGTGAGTCCCCAGGTGTTTTGGCCTACAACTCCCAGAAATGCCAGCCAGTTTACCAGCTGTTAGGATTTCTGGGAGCTGAAGGCCAGGACATCTGGGGACCCACAGGTTGAGAATGACTGATCTTGAGGATGTTCTACTTAAATATTTCCAAGACAATCATTGTTTGAGTGTAGGTTTAATGTAGAACTACTAGAAATGTTTGTGCATGAAAAAAACTCTGAGGATCCTTCTGCATATATGCTTTCTTCCTTCTCCACACACTGTACAGACAACTCTCTATTTACAGATTCCACATCTAGATTCCACTGTTAATGTCTTAAATATACCCCCCCCCCACCAAAAAAAAGAAAGAAAAGCCAAAAAGCAAACCTTGAGGACCCACCGTAATATGAAACTTATGATTTTATTTTTAGCTGACTACAATTTGCCATTTTATCAACCAATTATAAATTATGAAGTTGGATTAAGGTAATCCATTTTGTGAACAGAAGCTACTGGGATGTAACAGAGGGAAGTGAGAAAGAAAAGAATGAAAGTGACATTTCAGGTTTTCTGCCTCCCTGCAACAATGTGTCATATTGCTCTAATTCCCCAAATCTCTAAAGCAATTTGAAGTATTTATTTTGTTCCAGCGTGAACAGAATTCTACAAAACTGTTTTGGTCCAGCTCTTATTTTTGATGTTATTGGGTTGCATGGCAGGAAACAGGCTAGAAGTCTCTGATGGTTTCACATGAGCTTTCCAGTGAAATAAATAAGAGGAGATAGCACACAAATCTAATGGCAGGTTTTATAATTTGACAGTAAATATAAACACTGCATCTGGACACGTGTGTGTTCTCTGTTCTTTCACTTTGTTTCTTGAGATATTAGAACTAATTTGGATATCAGAACACATTATTAGAAGCCCAGAGAGCAAACTTATGCACACTTTTGGAGTGAGTATAGATTTAACTCAGTGGGGCTTATTTCTGAGCAAACACAAGTAGGGAAATCTGTCAATTGTTGTGATATTAATAAATCACCCGCAGTATCACTAAAATGTAATATAAAGTTATGATATGCAGAACAAGATGCACTAGGAGACAAATGCAAGTAG